GATTTCATCAGTCGAGACACATCGCGGTCGTGCATTTTACCAAAATTGCATAACAGTCTCTTCCTCCATTATTTAGTATTTAATAAGTAAGAAATATATTTCATAAATTAAATAAAAGTGAGTAAAACATTTTGATATTTATTTTAAATTAAATAAATAAACGGGAAATTGAACAAACCGTTCGGGTTCCCAACAATATCGTCCCAATCAAACCTAGTTTTACTGTGTTCAAGGCACCTTTGAAACTTAACTGAAACATCTGTATCTTCAGTAGAATAAAAAATCTCATCCTAGGGACTACCCATACAAAAAACGGACGTTGAAGAACAAATGCGACAAATTAAGAGTTTTCCCGTCTATTTCATGTCACGATCACCTTTATTTTGTTTCCAGTGTACCAATCCGGGAGATTGCCAGTCCTTGATTGATCCCGCTGGTTCCCCCCATTGGGATAACCAAGAATTTCGCGCCAGCATCAAGGGGACCATGCTTAGTCTGCCAAGTGAGGCTTTTAAGTGGTAAGTGAACAAATCACAATTAACTGCGACATATACAGACCATTTGAATCGTCCAATGTTACGGAGCAAATCACACATGTGGAGCCCATTTCTTCGTTTTGGCAATTAAGGGCCTGGAAACTTTTACCTGCCATTCTTACAAAAAGGTCAAGGTTTCTGGGTTGTGTGCCCCATAGAGTAAGTAAATTATTTTACTTTCTCTATGGTGTCCAGTTGAGATGCAGAGGCGCCGACCATCAGTCAAAGCGCTCTCATGATTTGAGTTTACTCTTTCTCATTAACTGTTTGATCGGAGTTTTCCGATTTGCGCGAATAATCAGACATGTAAAACTAGGGTTGACAACTACACCACCTTGTATATAGGGTGATTCAATATTGGCGTCACTTCTTTAAGAGGTTATAGGGGCTCACTTAACGCGTGACAGTTTTTGTGTCATTTCAGGCTACTTTGGCTTTTGTTGCTAAGGGGATTTTTTGAAACAATACGGGAAAAACTGTCATCAGGAAAAAAATCAATCGACCTGTCTAAAAATACACCAGAGGTTTGAGTTAAAGCAAAAAACAACTATGTCAAATTTTGACATTTCCGTGCTTTATATTTTCAATTCAAATTCAGATTTGAGTAAAAAATTGAGTAAAATTAAACAACTTTTGTTATCGTCACTTTCGCAATTTTTTTGAAATAAACGATCTAGGAGGGGGGTGTCAACTTATGAGGAAACTCCGTGTACGTAAGATAGCCGGGACACGTTAAATCTCTGATCTACTGAGCACCGGTACAACATTAGCAGGCATTCCACTGGCACAAACATGTTTGGAGTTAAAAAAGTGTCTCGTATTATATATATCTCGAAAAGTATTTCGTTTCACCGTCAATCGCCACAATGCTTAACTTAACTTTTCTTAAACGATATTGTGACAATGACTGGTTACCCTAACCTATGTCATTTTCACCTGCGTTGTTGATGTTTAAGAAGCCACAGGTATTTACGTGTGTGTGCTAATTAAACGGGTTACCTTGAAAAACATTGTTGCCGTCTCTCTGATCTGGTTTTTGGCAAATACAGTAAAGTCCGCTGATAATGAACCCGGTTATAGTGAAATTTCGGTTAAAACGAACTTTTTTCCTTTAATTGAAACGTCGTCCACAAAGGCCAACGTGTTTTTTTACTGGTTATAACGAACTTCCGATATAACGTTCACTTTTTAGGTTAGTTGTATATTCAGTTTCCGTTTATAACGAACTTCCACACTCAGCAACACCAATCCTGCGGAGTTGTTTATATTAGTGAGAGCGAGAGACAGGCAGTGATTTGTTGTTTTTTGCCGCGTTATGTATTTAAATCGTTTTAGAATGGAAAAACAAAAACGCAAAGCTTTTTCACTAAATGAAAAGAACGAGATTATTAACAAAATGAAAAGTGGAGTAAAGCAGAGTGACATTTGTAAGGAATTAGCACTTGGAAAGTCTACTGTTGCAACAATATGGAAA